GTGTGTGTGTGTGTGTGTGTGTGTGTGTGTGTGTGTGTGTGTGTGTGTGTGTGTGTGTGTGTGTGTGTGTGTGTGTGTGTGTGTGTGTGTGTGTGTGTGCGCGCGCGCAAGTTGCTAACATGTAAACCAGACAAGTTGTCTTTTTCAAAGAATCGCACTTACCTTAATTCTCTCATCATCCTTGATAGGGAAACCTCCCTTGAACCACTCAATCTCTGGGGATTCTTCCTCTGGCGTATATATAATATTGCAGGTCATGCGGACTCGGCATCCTTTCACAACCTGGCGGTCCTGGAGCCTCGTGCTGAACTTGGGTCTTCTCTTGGGGTCGCGACCTCGGCCCATCTGGAAAATGAAGCCAAAATAAATAGAGAATCAATCTGAATGATATCCAGTTAGAAAAAAATAAGAATCAATCTGAATGATATCCAGTTAGAAAAATCGAGAATGAAATTTGAATGATATCCAGTTGGAAAAAAAATATAAAAAATCTATCTGAATGATATTCATTTAGAAAAAAATCGCAAATCAATCTGAATGATATCCAGTTAGAAAAAATCGAGAATCAATTTGAATGATATCAAATTAGAAAAAAAATCGAAAATCAATCTGAATGATATCGTTAGAAAAAAAAATCGAAAATCAATCTGGATGATATCCAGTTAGAAAAAAAATCGAAAATCAATCTGGATGATATCCAGTTAGAAAAAAAATCGAAAATCAATTTGAATGATATCAAGTTAGAAAAAAAATCGAGAATCACTTTGAATAATATCCAATTAGAAAAAACTCGTATTATAACTAATTTACACAAATGATCAGGCACCCTTGCAACGACTTACATCCGGGGTCTGAGTCCGAGATCGACGGTCCAAGGAGCCGTATCTATCGACATCAATGAGCTCTTTCTCAGAGTATTCGATCCTCCTCTTGGTTCGCTCGGCCCTTCGGCGCTCCTCGGACGCTCGGTGCTCTTGCTCCTCTTCCTCTTGCATGCGTTTTCGGTCCTCCATGCGCTTCAGGCGACGTTCCTCTTCCTATTGAATGATGAACATTATTGCATAACTTAACGCTGCATTAAAAAGTGAGGTTATTTATCGCATATGGACGCAGAAGCAACAACTGAGCTACAGTCAACCTAGAGACGAACACATTATATGTATCTATTACGTTCGGTATACCTATCTGTCTCACATTTGCCTACCTTTTTGAGGAACTCCTCTCCCTGCAATCGCAACTCCTCTTCTCTCTTTCTCTTCATCTCCTCACGACCACGCAGCTCTTCTTCGAGCCTCTTCTTCTCCTCTTCCAACTTCTTTTTGAATGCAGACTCCCTCTTTGCGTCTTCCTCGGCAATTAGTCTGTCTTGTTCTTCCCTCTTTTTTCTCCTTTCCATTCTACGTTCCTCTTCTTCCTTGAGCATGCGTTCCTCTTCTTCCCGCTCCTGTTGCTTCTTTTTCTTCTTCTCTTCTCTTTCCACCTCCAATTTCTTTCGTCTTTCCTCTTCCCTTCTCTTGTTCTCCTTCTCTTCTTCTTCTTTCATCTTTCGTCTTCTCTCTCTCCTCTCCTTTTCTTCCCTGAGGAACTTTTCCTCTTGTTCTTTCATAGCTTTTTCTTCTTCTAACCGCCTTTGTTTCTTCTTTTCTCGTCTCTCGGCGTCTTCTCTATTGATACGCTCTTCTTCCTCTTTTCTCTGTTTTTCCAGTTCCTCTTTTCTCTTCTCTAATTTCTTTTTCCTTTCTGCTTCTTCCTTTTCAAATTGTTCTTGTTCTTCTTTCCAGTACCTTTCTTGCTCTTCCCTCTGCTTTTTCAGTCTCTCTATTTTTTCTTGTTCTTCTTTCTTTAGTCTATCTAGTTTTTCAATCCTTTCTTTTTCTTCATCGTCCTTTCTTCTTCTCCTTCTCTCAGCAATTTCCTTCTCCTCTTTATTCAGTCTCTCGATCTCTGATTTGCGCATCTCACTCTCTCTCCTGGATCGTTCTTCCTCTTGCTTCTCAAGTAACTTCTCTTCCTCCCTTCTCATCTTCTCTTGAGCGGCGCGTATCGCTTGCGCTTCGTCCTTTTCTCCCTTTAGTATTTCCTCCTGTTTCCTGAGTTCAGATCCTCGAGCAGCTGTCATGTCCTCACTGGCCTCTCTCGACTTCCTCCTTCTGTCTGGCGCTTCTGGAGACTTGTGCTTGGCAGTTTCGATTTCGTTTTCTTTCAGGCTGGCCCTCTTTCCGGGAGACTTTGATCTCGCCTTTTCGCCGTCATTGATGCTGGAACGCTTTCTGGGCTTTGGCTCGGGTGACTTTGCCTTTCCTGGCTCATCCACCGTCTCTTTGGCAAGCTTAACATCAGCGTCCTTCAGACTGGACCTCTTCCTAGCCGGAGGTTCGGGTGATTTGGTTTCCTTCGAAACGGATTCCCTTGCCTTGGTAGCATCTGCTTCCTTTATGCTAGACCGCTTCCTCTCCTTGGCTTCAGGAGATTTGGCTTTCTCTTCCTCCTTGGCCTTTGCCGCCTTGGTATCGACCTCTTTTATGCTTGACCGCTTTCTCTCCAAAGCTTCAGGAGATTTTGATTTCTTCGCTTCCTCTTTAAACGCTCTCTCTTCGTCCTTGGAGACGACCTTGGCTTCTGCTTCACGAACGGCCTTGGTATCACTTTCTTTAAGGCTGGATCTCTTTCTTTCTTTACGTTCTGGAGACTTGGCTTTCATGGCTTCCTCACCTGATATAATTTTCTTTTCTTTGTCTTCCATTTCCTTAACAGCCTTGACATCGCCATCCTTTAGACTTGATCTCTTCCTTTCTTCCTTTTCTGGTGATTTTGCCTTCGTTGCTTCGTCCTTTGAGGGGATTTTACCTGCAGCCAAAGCTTCCTCGTCCTTCACGCTGGGTTTCCTTCCATCCTTCAGTTCAGGAGACTTGGCTTTCTTGGCTTCCTCCTTCCGGAGCTGCTCTCCTTCTCTTTCCTTAAGAGCCTTGGCGTCCTCTTCCTTCAGGCTGGACCTCTTCCGCTCTTTGGCTGCCGGGGATTTGGCCTTCTCGTCTCTGGTATCTTCCTTGGCTTCTTTATTTGCTTTGGTGTCAACCTCAACCCCCTTCTTAGTTTTGGTATCAGCCTCTGCTGTTTCCTTTTCTTTGATATCAGCTTCAGCCCCCTTCTTTGCCTTGGTATCGACCTCTGCCTTGGCCTCAGCCTCTTTCTTCGCCTTGGTATCAACCTCAGCCGCTTTTTTCGCCTTGGTATCAACCTCAGCCTCTTTCTTTGCCTTGGTATCGACCTCAGCCTCTTTCTTGGTCGGCCTTGGCTTCAGCCTCTTTCTTTGCCTTGGTATCAACCTCAGCCTCTTTCTTTGCCTTGGTATCGACCTCAGCCTCTTTCTTTGCCTTGGTATCGACCTCTGCCTTGGCTTCAGCCTCTTTCTTAGCCTTGGTATCGACCTCAGCCTCTTTCTTTGCCTTGGTATCGACCTTGGTCTCTGCCTTGGCTTCAGCCTCTTTCTTAGCCTTGGTATCGACCTCAGCCTCTTTCTTTGCCTTGGTATCGACCTCTGCCTTGGCTTCAGCCTCTTTCTTATCGACCTCAGCCTCTTTCTTGCCTTGGTTCGACTTGGTCTTGCCTCTTCAGCTCTTTCTAGCCTTGGTATCGACCTCAGCCTCTTTCTTTGCCTTGGTATCAACCTTTCTTTCTTAGCCTTGGTATCAACCTCAGCCTCTTTCTTTGCCTTGGTATCAACCTCTGCCTTGGCCTCAGCCTCTTTCTTCACCTTGGTATCAACCTCAGCCGCCTTTTTCGCCTTGGCATCAACCTCAGCCTCCTTCTTGGCTTTGGTATCAACCTCTGCCTTGGCCTCAGCCTCTTTCTTCGCCTTGGTATCAACCTCAGCCTCTTTCTTTGCCTTGGTATCAACTGCTGCCTTGGACTCAGCCTCTTTCTTCGCCTTAGTATCAACTTCAGCTTTGGCCTCAGCATCCTTCTTCGCCTTGGTATCAATCTCAGCCTCCTTCTTAGTTTTGGTATCAATCTCTGCCTTAGCCTTGGCCTCAGCCTCTTTCTTCGCCTTAGTATCAACTTCAGCTTTGGCCTCAGCATCCTTCTTCGCCTTGGTATCAACTTCAGCCTCTATCTTTGCCTTGGTATCAACCTCTGCCTTGGCCTCAGCCTCTTTCTTTGCCTTGGTATCAACCTCAGTATCCTTCTTCGCTTTGATATCAATCCCTGCTCCTGTCTTTGCTTTGGAGTCCACCTCAGCCTCCTTCTTAGCCTTGGTATCAACCTCTGTCTTGGCCTCAGCCTCTTTTTTCGCCTTGGTATCAACTTCAGCCTCTTTCTTTGCCTTAGTATCAACTTCAGCCTCTTTCTTTGCCCTGGTATCCTCTGCCTTGGCCTCAGCCTCTTTCTTTGCCTTGGTATCAACCTCAGTATCCTTCTTTGCTTTGATATCAATCCCTGCTCCTGTCTTTGCTTTGGAGTCCACCTCAGGCTCCTTCTTTGCCTTGGTATCCACCTCAGCCTCTTTCTTTGCCTTGGTATCAACTTCACCTTCTTTCTTCATCTTAGTATCAATGTCAGTTCCTTTCTTTGCTGTAGTATCAACCTCAGCATCTTTCTTTGCTAAGCCACCAACTTCAGTTTCTTTTTCTGCTTCCTTCTTAGGTTTAGAATCAGCTTCTTCCTTCTTTACCTTGGCAGCAGGTTCAGCACCTTCTTTTACCTTGCTCTCAACTTCAGACTCTTTCTTTGCTTTGGTATCAACCTCTGTCTTTTTCTTGGGTGTGGTATCAGGCTCAGCCTCTTTCTTTGTTTCGGCATCAATCTTGAGAACTTTCTTTGCGTCTTCATTTTCCTTTGCCTTTTGTTCTGCTTCAACTGAAATAACTGCAGACTGTTTCTTGGCTTTAATATCTTCAGATGTAGTTATGCTCTTCTTCTCACTTGCTGCAGTTCCTTCCGTACCTTCTTCAAGTTTTAAGCTTCCTTTCTTTACACTGACTTTCTTTCCTTCCTGTACTTTGAGGTCTGCGATACCTTCGGAGACATTAATTTCTTCAACTGATGTAGCTTCTACAAGCCCACCTTCTTTTTGGAGCTTCATTTCGACTTCTCTTAATGATGTTTCAATCTCACTAAGTTTTTCTTGAAGGCCTGAGGGTGAGCTTAGGTCTATATTCAGGTTAACTGATTCTTCACTTCTCTCATTTGCACTTTCTTTCTTCTTAATTGACAGAGTTGCATCAGAGGTTGTGGTACTCTCTATGTATGCTTGTGCATTGCTGTCAATCTGACTGATTTTCTTTTCTATCTCAGACTTTGCTGATTCATCTTTCACAGTGATACTCACTTGCCCAATGGCAGATTTTCCAGACATTTTAGGCTCTTTCATTTCTAGGACACTCTCTAACTCACTTGCAGAATCAGCACTAATTTCGCTAGTGGAAGTTAGTTCACTAGTGGGTTCTTCACTTGTCTCTCGAACTTTCATTGCAGCTAACTGTTTTGCTAAAAGTTCTTGTTTCTTCAACAGAAGTTCTTTTCTCTTCCTAGCTAGCTCTTCTTCAACAGATTCTGGTGCGCCTTGATTTGCTAAGCCTTCTTTAGTTTGTACAATCTGTTGATCGGCGGTGAGCATCTCCGAAACTACACTTGTGACAGCTTTCTGGGATTCTTTCGTAATATCTTGTTGGCTAGTAACAGCTACCTCTTCTCTGTGTATTTCAGTAGCTTCTGCTACTGTAAGTTCTTTTGTGTCTTTATTTACAATGGACTTTGCAGTCTGTTCTTGTGCTTTGTCTTCAGATTTCAAACTTTCAACAGTTTCTCCTTTTTGGTCGGCTTCTTCCACCTTAGCTGTTTTGATTTCTGAGACTTTGCTTGTTATTGCAGTCTTCATTTCAGAAACTTTGCTTGTTAATGCAGACATAAAGCCCTTCTTTTTCTTTTCTTCTGGTTTATCTTTCTTATCACTAAGGTCTTGTGACCCAGACTTTTCATCGTGTATTGACTTTTCTTGCGAACTATCTCTCATCTGAGGAGGAGATTTTTCTTTCGACAACCCTCTCTTGGGAGATAATGTGCCATCTGCAGGTTTTGTTTTTTCTGCTGAAGACCCTCTCTTTTTTGATAAACGCCTTTTGAAGAACCCAGTTTCCTCCTTTGGAGCATCAGCTTCAGTGACTGACTTTTCACGAGAAGCAGATCTCCTCTGGAATATAGATTTTTCTTGTGATACTCCTCTTTCCTGTGATACAGTTTTCTCTTGAGATTCACCTCTCTTCTGAGGCTCAGTCTTTTCCTGTGACAGGCCTCTTTTCTCAGGCTCAGACTTTTCCTGTGATAGACCTCGCTTTTGAGCCTCAGTCTTTTCCTGTGACAGGCCTCTTTTCCCAGGTTCAGTCTTTTCCTGTGACAGACCTCGCTTTTGAGGCTCAGTTTTTTCCTGTGACAGACCTCTTTTTTCAGGTTCAGCCTTTTCCTGTGACAAACCTCTCTTTTGAGTCTCAGTCTTTTCCTGTGACAAACCTCTCTTTTGAGGCTCAGTCTTTTCCTGTGACAAACCTCTCTTTTGAGGCTCAGTCTTTTCCTGTGACAAACCTCTCTTTTGAGGCTCAGTCTTTTCCTGTGATAGACCTCTCTTCTTCTCGGCCTGCTGTTCATCTTGATCTTGGACATCCGTTCCTTTTTTGGCAGACTTATCAATCACTTTCACTTGCTTACGTTCTTCACTCTCTAATGATTCTGTAGTTAGTGACTCACTACTAGGAGTTCTGTACAGTTCTCCTTCAGCTTTTCCTGAGAGAAGGTGTTCCATTCGTGCCAAGAGCTCTTCTTTCCGAGCCTGAATCTGCTCTGGTGTGAGGGTTACTCCTTCCATTTGAGCTTCAGCAATAATATCCTTTCCTTCTTGTGGCTTTTCCTCATCAAGTTTGACTTTCTTTACTGCTGATTCAGCTTCTTTGTCAGCTGATGAAGCTAATTTCTTTTGTTCTTCTGAAACTGGTTCATCAGCTGGCCGTTTTTTATCACCAGGTTCAGTTACTTTTTGCATTTCCCCAGTTGTCTTTGCTGTAGACATTCCTGCAACTAAAGGTGGTTCACCTACAGTGGCAGACTCACCTGCACCTTCAACAATGCCAGCCACAGCTCTTTCAGGATGAGCAGCAGGCCTCTGTGACACAATAGCAGCTTCAGACTGTAGATCAGCCTCTTGCACAACTATGCATTCAACTAGAGATCCACTTCGTTCCTCAGCAACAGTTAGCATTTGTGACATATCTTCTTTGTTAAATACATTGAGATTAGCATAGTCTACATCTGCTTCTTGAATCATAACAGCTTCCCTTGTAGTATCAGTTAACATTTGTGCTCTGTCACTTACTCCTTGCATGTAGTCAGGCATGTCCCTGATATCGCCAGACATTCCCATTTGCTCATAACCTTCAACAGCCTCATGGAGTGTTTGGTGAAGTTGAGCTTGAGTCTCCTCAGGACTCAAAAGTGACAGGTCCTCAGCTTGGAAGTAACCTTCTCTGATAGCAACTGCAACAGCTTCTCGATAACTAGGATCTAACTGCATAGCTCTTTGTTGCTCTGGCGTAATTCCTTCAAATACCTCGGCATGTTCATAGCCATAGTGTTCAGACTGTTGCATTGGTTCTAACATGGAATGGAATTCACTTACATCAGCTTCAGTTTCTTCAGCGTGGGAAGATTGTGGATGGTCCTGTGAAGCCGTATAATACTCCTGAGCTTCCTGCTGAGCTACCCCTACTGCTGTCTTTTTGATCACCTTTGCTTTCTGTGCCTTAGGTTGCTTCACTTTCAAACTCTTTGGCATTCCACTCACTACTTCTGCTTCTTCCATGACCAGGGCTTCATGCTGACTGGCTTCCTTCACCTGAGCTTGTTGAGCTTGAGCAACCTGACCTTGGAAAGTAGCTACGTCTTCCATGACTTCAGCACTGGTGACCTTGAGGCCTTCTTTCCCTTGAAGAACAGCTTTAGCATGTTCAGATTGAACTTGCTTATCAGAAATCGGTTTTGCTTCCCCTTCATATACTTCAGGAGACTGGATGACAGCAGTTTCGCCTGGTTTCTGAGTCTTCTTAACAGCAGCTTTCTTTACTTTCTTAGAAGGACGTTCTTCTGAGTCTAAACCTTTGACTTGTTCCATTGCCTCACGAGAACTAACAGCGACAGCTTCATGGGTAACAAAGCTTGGATATCGCTCAGTTTCTTTGCTTACCTCAGCAGCACCAGGCAGTGTACCAGTCTCAGAGAGGAACTGTTGTTCTTCAGTCGTCATAGCTTCCCTTGTCTCAATCGATCTCTTGGCTTGTCTTCTATCGATTTTTTCATCCTTAATTTTCTCAAGGCCAGTTAATACCTCTTGTTGTTGTGCCTGAGCTACAGCAAGGCCAGGGGTATCTTTATGCTCTGCCTTGGCACGAAGACCTTTATCAGTTTTGATAGATTTTGCACCAGCACTCATAACCTGTGGCTCTTCCGCTATTATAGCTTCTCCCTTGCCAAGAACCTGGCCTTCTTCTGCATGTGTGCGCAGCATACTGATACCTTGCTCACTAAGTGAACGAAGATCAGCTTGCATTATGTTCTTTTCACTGATATGAGCAACACCCATGCCCTCCATGGATACAGTTTGTGGAGACAATTGTTCCTCATTCCATACTTCCATCTCAGGCAAATCTGCAATATCAGAACGGAGTGCTTCGCGCTCCTCTACCATTACTGCTTCCATTGCTGACAGTTCTTCCACATCAGCTTCTGTTCGTGCATCATCATAAACTATATCAGACATGCTCATGTATTCATCGAAAGCTTGGTTCTCTACATCAATAACCATTGCTTCCATGATAAGTGGACCCTTTCGAGAGGTTTCTCTTGTGAATCGGAGAGGAGGTAGTTCTGCTTGATTGCCCTCTTGAGCTGAAATAAGGGTGCAACTTTTAGAGATTGCATTAAATACATTACAATACATAAGACTAAACTTACTGTAAGTATGATCATATGTATAAGTACAAAGACAAAATAAACAGGTGTTACCTGAAAGACGATCAGATATTTCATCCGCATAAATTTCTGCAATTTGTCTAGCCTCTGCCTCAGATATATCTGGTGTCTCGTAGAGGGAGAGCGATACTTCTCTGCCATCGATGCTTACTGATATATCAGCCTTCTCGTCCTCACACGAAGCCTCTGACACTGCCGACTCGTAAACAGAGATCTGTGAGGAACGTTCTTCATTGATGGTCGAAAGAGATGGATTTCTGGCAATGCCCCGTGCATCAGCAAGTGCCATTGCAGCTGCCATCTTGTCGCTCTCCTTCTGGATAAGTTTATCTGTTCGAAGTATAAGAACATTATTAGTGTCTAAGAATAATTATAAATAATATTTGCCAGTCTTAGAACATAATTGGTCAAAGAATAACTACAAATAATATTTTCCAGCTCCTAAATGCAGTTCCATCAAATATTGCAATATTTAGCTAACAAATTACCTTCGAAGCCAAGAAGAGCTGCAGAGGATGAAGCAGAACCCATAACATTATAAGCTTCACAAGTATAGGTCCCAAGGCAGCAGGTACCGTCTTCACCACTAATGATTCTATGGATGTCACCCGGTTTGAGCTCCGTGCCATCCTTGAACCATTTAAGGACTGGCTGAGGAACACCAATCACCTGCAGTGGAATAGTAGGTTATATCAAACAATAGAATTTACGCAAATGGCAAAATATAGATCCTGTATGAAATCTGCAACGATGTAAAAAATGAACAAAAGTTGATCAGGAAATATAATGTCACTGAATTCTGACCTTGCACTCTAGATTCACAGTTCCCTCTTGCGATAGTACAGCCCGCAGGGGCTCGAGGAACACAGGCTTTTTGTAGTGTCTTGGAATAACCAGCTTGACGGAGGATGCTGTGACGCTATGGCCAAAGTCGTTGCTTGCTAGACACTTCCATTCTCCCTGGGAACGGTGACGATTTTGTGTA